TGCTTGCAACGCTTGGGTTCCTGCCTGGTAAGTTGCCCACGTGTTTGCCGCCAATGATCGCTGAAGGAGCCTCTCTGCCTCGATTGTTAGCCCTGCCAGAGATTGTCTGGAATTGGTGTGGGATGCAGATTGGCTGATGGAGCTGCATTTCGGAATCGTTCCCACTGAAATCTCGACAGTGCATCTGCGATAATATTGTCGTGTGTTGTTATATATCTGGCCTTGAACAAAATGTTGTGTTTGAGGCACTGCAGCACTAGCTGCCTAATCAGTGACATGATTCTGGGTGCCTTTGAAGACTGTTTATTTATTATTGACACTACAGCTTGGTTATCACAAAAGAAAAGTACTTTCCTGTTAGCAAAGGCTGTCCCCCACAGACAAACTGACAGCACAATCGGAAACAACTCCAGCAGTGTCATGTCACGAGTCGAGCCGTCCTCCACCCACTCACGGGGCCAGAGCCCGTTTGCCCATTTCCCGTTATAGTATGCGCCGAACCCCACAGTGCTGGCTGCATCAATAAACAGCTGCAGACATGTATTGTCAGCCCACTTTTTATTCTGAAAAACCGACACACCGTTAAATTCCCCCAAGAACCCGAGCCAAACCTCTAGGTCCTCCCGAACTCCCCGCGTGATGCGAACACGGTGTGCTTGATGACTTACCTTTGAATAGGCATCAATCAGTCTGCGGCAAAACGGTCTACCCATGGGTATTGCCCGGCACATGAAATTTAGCTTACCCAACAGAGACTGCAAAGCTTTATGGGTCACTTTGTGCTTACCTGAGGCCAGCATATCGTGTATGATTGCGTTGATATTTACAATCTTTTCCTGTGGTATTCTAACCTGCATCCTGACACTGTCGATTTCAAGACCTAGGAATGTTAAGCAGGATGCAGGACCTACTGTCTTCTCATGTGCTACGGGTACGCCCAGCTCCTGGAAAGTACTGAGACATGTATCAAGGTTGTCGCCACAGTCTTTTGTTCCTGCAGTTCCGCCTGTGAGAAAATCATCAAGGTAATGCATGAGTTGGCCGTTAGGCAACTTTTGCTGGACACACCATTGCAAAAAGGTGCTGAATTTTTCAAACACTGAGCATGATATGGAACAGCCAAACGGCAAGCATTTATCAAAGTAGTATTTACCTTGAAAGCACAAGCCTAGCAACTCAAAGTCCTGAGGGTGTACCGGCATAATCCTGAAAGCCGATTTCACATCAAATTTTGCAAGTAGAGCATTTGGACCAAGTTGCTGTACCATACTGACAGCCTCGTCAAACCGTGCATATGACACGGAGCATGCTTCGCTGTCTATGTTGTCGTTGATTGATCTGCCTTGAGGATAAGAAAGGTAGTGTATTAAACGAAAATCGTCTGTCCCCAGCAAGGACTGACTCTTACCCGTTTGCTTTTTGGGTACGAGACCGATGGGTGAAACTTGTAGGTTCAGCAGGGGCGGCGTTTCAAAAGGACCTGCCACCCTACCTAATTTTACTTCCTTTTTCAATTTGGCAGCTACTATCTCTTGTAAAATGGGATCCCTGGCTGAGCGTAGATTCTCAGACCATCGACTTAGGCGTGCCCCACTATATTCCAGTTGAAAACCTGATTCCAAACCTTGTAATAAATAAATGGCATGGGCATGGTTAGAATGCTTGTACAGTTGCAAATGTCGCTTTAATCTAGTGAGTATGAGTGGAGTTGGGGCCAGTGCCTTTAGCATGGGTTGCCTGTGTGGAGTTAAGTTGTTTGGAGGGTCTACGACCCCCCTTTGCGCGAAAGCAAGAATAGGCGGGATGTTGTTCGCCACAATTGGAGCATTTATGAATAAACTTGCATTCTGGCCTGGCGCACCTTGACCTGTTGTAGTCCGAGCATGCGTTGACTGTAAAGTCGCGGCCCCTGCTGAAAGGCACTGTAAAGCGTTCAGTCTTATTTTCTTGAACACAGGACATAGTCGGTGTCATGTGCTTTAACCACAATTCACCGTCTATCTTGCCCCACTCCCGAATTGGGTCTCGTGCCATACGGTGTCGGAATTGCTGGTCGTAGTTTGACCAGCCAAAACCCCCGGGGGGGACTGCGGCATTACGGATTGTTTCCATGTATGCCAACATGCCCTGTATGGTGGACTGACAAAAATGTTTCACCACGTAAATGCTCATATATATGTGGAAAGCTGACGTCCATTGGCCTATGCTTAATGCCCTGGCGTTAGCTGGCTTGGCCGGCGAGAATCGCAGATTACCCGACGAATCCATCTGCATCCTAAATGCATCGTCATCGTCATGCGACTGTGCGCCTGGCAACAATGTAGTCAACTCCACAAACTCCCCTCTCCATACTCTCTCCCGTACAACTTGACGGACGTGAGCGCTGATAGCATCCGCCTGGAAGGTCAGGGAATCCCCTGTTCCCTGATTGGTTGACCCCGCTCCTGACTCTGCACGTGGTGTGACGTCACGGGAAACTCCCGGCTCGCCCGAGTGTGCACTGCTAAATGACAACACATCGGGATTTCTTGACACCACCGACCCCGTTACCCCCAGATCATTTGTACTTACCCCTCGCATGCCAGTAAAGCTCCGAGAAGTATCTTGGGCCATCCGTTTGCCTAGCATATCCAGTATGCTGTTGAGTTGGCTCAATATAGCTAGCATCGACGGAACGGGCGACACCACTTGTTGGGGCTCTTCGATGTCTCCGTGATCGACTCGCGGGAGAACGTTTGAATTATCCGAATCATCTGCTTCAACTAGCAAGTTAGCAGCTATTCGTACACTTGGCAAGGGGGGTCCGTGCAATGGAGATCTAGCTGATCTCCGTGACTTACCAGTAGCCGATGTCGCTTGCCGGACACTTGGTTCTCTCCTGGCTATTTTCCCGCTCCTTACGAGGCGGTGATTTAAGGCGGCCCGTCTTTTTGGTGGCATTCTTAATGGTAATTGCAACGAACTATAGATGAATGCGCAAATATAACTATGTGTTGTACGGCTGAAAGCTGGAGAGCAAGTGCTGCGTGAGCTGATGTCACGCTACAACAGGTCATAGAAAATATAAACAAACGCTCCTTTACCGGACGTGCCAAGAGCGGATCTAGGCCAGAGACGATGGCACCATGCAAAACGTCACGTAGCCGCACGGAATGAAGGTATTTCGCTGTAATAATATTAGCAACTTTGCCAAGCCTAACATAAAGGCATTTAGTTCTAATCACTAAATGCTACTAAGTTGGAATCACAACTGGGGTCTTTTCATTTGAATCAAATGTACAAAATGTACAGTTTGGACATTTCTGTGATGTGAATGCTACTTATGTTTGTAGAGTGTCTGGATGAATAAAAGAGACAGTCGTCTGTGCAGCATCAATGCAAAGAAAGACCATAGAAGAGCAACAGTGAGTGATAAATATTTTGAAATTATTCTGTTTGGTTCATATGGTTATTTTGCAAATATTTCTTCAGTTTGTTTCTTATCGCTTTTAGCACGGATGTCCATATAATTATCTAAGGCAATACAATTAAATTTTACTGTGCAGAGTTGCATCTCTTGGGCTTAGCAGAAACCTATAGTCATGGGTTCAAATCCTGGTTCTCCCCGATTATGTTGCTAGGTTTGTCAGCGTTCTACACATGCTCGTGGGATTCATCAAGGACCTGCATCACTTAGGGCTATTCTTCCCACATGAAGCTAACAGGCGGTGATATATCTGGAATACTGTTCAAATCAGTGTTAAACCCAACTCATTTATTTAACACCGCATCCAGCAATAGTTTGTCTATATGACAAGGATTGTAAATATATATTTTACCATGTTGATGAGGTGAAACAATCTCTAAATGACATCTCTTAAAAAGATTCCCAGCAGTCTATGCTTGTCATACAAGCCTAGTTAATAGATCAGGTAGTGATCGAGTAGGCTCATTGATCGCATGTAATCATACCACAATGATGTGGGATATTGTCTGTTATGATAGTTGCTTCTTTATAAGCTTGATGAACGGTAAACGATGACATGTTTTGGTTCATAGGCGATGGTCGCCATGCTTTTATTACCAGCGCTAAAACAGTTCATACAAAAGTGGCATTGGCACTTTAGACAAAACGGGATTTACATATAAACGAAATAAGATTGTTAATACATCTTACAACATCCCCCTCCTTTAAGAAGGTTATACATAAACACAAATGCTGATAGCACCTTGAGTATCTAGAGTCTTTGGATAATGACTAGATAAAATACTGGAGTTGTCTATGGTGAAAAAGTCTGGTAACTCCATTGCACAATGGGGATGTGTATGTTCAATACACTGGATGGCTAAGATGAACAATTACTGATTTGTAGTACAGTTCACAGATTAGAGTCATTTGCACTGATAACCTGAAATAAAGAAATAAACACACATTGCAATCCACTTTTGCAATAACACATGAAATTAACTTTGGAGTCCATGATAACAGAATTTTTTACATTATCAGACACATCAACTGAAGATATTAGATCAGTCTCTGAGTTTCTGTGGTGTCTTGATTACACGACCACTTCTTGATTTCTTCAATTGCTGTTCGGGTTGTGGCTGATTGCTTGAATGTTGAGGTGATGGAGTTGAGATGAGCTTGGTGACTGGTTTGGTAGCGAAAGTGACTTTCTTCTTAGGAGTTGCTGTTATTGACTTGTTATTGTTGTTATCTGGTTGTGGAGTGGAGAGCTTGATGGGGAGATTTCTTTGATTAGTTGCTGCTGTAGTTTGTGAAGATTGTGTTGTAGCTGTTTCTCGAAGTTGACTTCGGTTGCCACGTAGAACACTTCCCGCTGCTGTTGAAATGATGTATGATCTGGGATTGTACTGGTCAACTTTCACAATAGTCCCTGGAATCCATGTTCGAGTTTCCTGGTTGTGAAATCTGATAGATTGTCCTGGGAGCAGTGGAGGTAGTTCATGATGTAGTGAGGTACGATCATGATGATTCTTCATGGATGATTGAGCTTCTCTTAGTCGTTCACGCTGTTCCGCTGCACAAACACTTGTTTCCTGCCGGGAGGGCAGTGTGGTAGTGAGAGGTCTAGCATTTCACCTGGTGATGGGAGGCCAGTTGCGATGGGAGTAGCACGGAGATGTAGCAATGCTTTGTCAATGTCTTGGCCGTTCATAAGACATTTCTTGACGATTGGCTTTACTGTTCCGACCATCCTCTCCGCCAGACCATTTGATCTTGGATAGTGTGGCGACGACGTCACATGTGTGATTCCCCAGTTCAGACAAAACTGTTGGAACGGGTGCCCACTATATTGTGTTCCGTTGTCACTAATGACAGTGTCGGGCTTACCCAGGATAGAACACATGAACTTCAGTTCATTAGTCACTGCTTGACTGCTTACTGGATGTGGTATCTGCTTTACGATAGGATATTTTGAGAAATAGTCTGTGACAACGAGAAAGTGCTTGCCTCGAATTTGGAAAAGATCAGTTCCAATTTTGCGCCATGGAGCTGATGGTATCTCATGAGGTTCCAGTGGTTCAGCTTTGTTCTGTGGCATCAGTTCTTGACACGAAGCACAAGATTTGATTAATTTCTCAATGTTTTTGTTGATTAACGGCCAGTAGACTGATTCACGAGCCAATTTCCTGGTTTTCTCAACACCCTGATGTGAAGCATGAAGCTGTGTGAGAATATCTTCCTGAAGAGATTCTGGTATGAGCACTTGACGACCTTTAAAGATGATGCCATCTTCAACTGCTAACTGATCCCTGAATGACCAGTATGGTCTTAATACTTGCATGACAGACTTGATGTTCTCGGGCCAGCCTGTATGTACCATTTCCTTCAGTAGGTTGAGAGGTACTAAGTATCTGCACATGTAGCTTTCTTGAGATGTTCTTGCTTTGAAGTTCCAAAGTTGATTAGATCCATGCTACAATCATCAACATCGTAGAGACTGATTCCATCCACTCTGGTATCAAGTTGGATTTCAGCTGTGTTCTCAGGATTCGGGAGTCTCGACAAGGTGTCTGCTAACGTCATATCCTTGCCGGGTCGATATGATAGATCAAAGTTGTAGCCTGTGAGCTTCAAGAACATTCGCTGGAGTCTCGGTGGAGCCTGGTTGATGGGTTTCTGATGGAACATCACAAGTGGCTTGTGATCTGTGATAACATGAAAATGGCGTCCATACAGGTAAGTATGAAATCTTTGTATTCCATGAACAAGTGATAAGGCTTCCCTCTCAATGTTTGAGTAGGCTGATTGTGTAGGTGTAAGGGATTTCGATGCGAAAGCGATTGGTTTCTCCTGGAGAAGTGCTGCACCTAGTCCTTTCATTGATGCGTCGACCTCAAGAGTCAATGGCTTGTCCATGTCGTAGTAGGCGAGACATGAATCTTCATTCACGAGAGTCTTCAGACGATCAAAACATTGTTCGTGAATAGGTTCCCACACATAGATAGCGTCCTTCTTCAACAGATCACGTAGTACCTTGGATTCTGAGCTGTAGTTAGGTATGTACGAACTCGGGTAGGTAAGCATACCAAGGAATTTCTGTAGTTCCTCTTTGTTGACAGGTGAAGGCATTTTCTGAATGTCAGATATTTTGGTTGGATCTGGACGGATTCCTTTGTCGGTGTACAAGTTACCAAAGAATGGGATAGATTTCTGTTTGATCAGACATTTCTCCGAGTTGAAAACAAGTCCTTTTTCTTTGGCTCTGGTCATCAGCTTGATGAGGTTGCTATCATGCTGTTCAGTTTCACCACAGACGCACACATCGTCGGTGATGCCAACCACACCGGTGAGATCTTCGAGTATCTCGATCAACTGCTGCTGGAAAATGTCTTGGCTGACAGATAATCCAAACGGGGGTCGTCTGAAGCAATACCTGCCAAACGGCGTCCTAAATGTTGTCAGGAGCTGACATTTCTCGTTGAGATGTATAGACCAATAGCCTGCCTTGGCATCTAGCTTGGAGAAGAATTTGGCTTTGGCAAACTCCGGATTCAATTCTTTCAAGGTAGGTATCTTGGTTGGACATCTTTTTAGAGCATGGTTCAGGTGAAACGGATCAAGGCATATGCGTAAGGAGCCATTTTTCTTGGTGACGTACGTGAGTGAGGAACACCAGTCTGTATGTTCTGTTACACGTTTTATCACCCCGATGCTTTCCATGCGATCTATTTCAGCTCTGATTTTATCCTTCAGGTGTATGCTGCACTTCCTTGGAGGATCACAGAAGGGCTCTGCATCTGGTTTCAAGGTCAGTTTAGCAGATGTATGAAAGTTCCCAATAGTATCAAATTGTTGAGGATACTTCTGTTTCAGATCTTCCACACTGTTGATGGGAGAAACTGTTTCTGGCTTGATTTCATCACAGTTGATTGTGACTATGTTGAGTGATTCACATGATGAAAGACCAACGATGGCGGGACCTGGAACGTCGACTACGTAGAATAGCGTATTTTAAAAAGTCTCTGAATTTACACTTGATTGACATGGTACCAACACACTTGATCTCCAGACCGTTGTAAGCGACGAGCTTGATACCGTCTGCAGGTTGGAGAATATCCGCATATGGACGATCTCCGTACATTTGTCGAAATGTTCGAACAGGAAGTGTGTTTCCAGCCGCGCCAGTGTCGACCTTTAGACGAAGACTGTGGATCCCCTTGATCATCGGAGCTTTGACCTTGAGATCTGTGTAAGCTGAATCACGGCCTGTGTCGATAGCATCCATGCATTGGTTGGATATGGTGACTACATGATACAGAACAGAGTAATCTTCATCGTCGGTAGTAACTGGATCGTTGTTACCATGGTTACTGTCAACTGAGTTGAAAGTCTTTGCTGGTTTCTGTCTATGTCTACTTTTCGATCAGTGTCTACCTTGTCGAGATGTCTTCCACTTGGTTTTTCGGCAGAACTTGGACCAATGACCTTTGGTATCACAAGCATTACAGGTGTCTTGATAAGCTGGACAGGACTTCGGCTTGTGTTTCAGACCGCAATTCTGACAGGCTCGATACTTGTGGTTGATGGCGTTTACTTCGGCAGTGGTAGCTGGTTTTGGATTGAGATCTTTGACTTGACGATGACCTGCGCTGATCGCTTCATATCGCTGACCTTCTTCTAGAGCATTGGAGAGGCTATAGCCTTTGGGTTGTTTCAGCAAATCATGTTGTAGAGCCTCAAAAGGAGTGCTAGCAATTAGCGATTCCAGTATTCTTTCTTGAAGTTCTGGTTCATCGAACTCGCACTTTAATACTAGTGTCTTGCACCTGGTTACAAATTCATCTATGTTTTCTTCCTCCTTTTGTCTGAATTGCATCAACTCAAGTCTATACACTCTAAAATTAACTTGTAATTTGAGTTGTTTTTCGAAATAAGTCCATATTTTATCTGGATCTTTTAGGTCACGTTCACTCAAACCTGAAGCGTTCAGCCGACGTAAACCCTCGTTGCCAAGTCCACGTTTTATCTTCAAAGCGATTTTTTCTTTGTCAGTAATTTCTTCATCCTCACAGAATAATTGCAAAGTCTGTTTGAATAAACTGAATGTTTCGCCGATATCCGCCTGTTGCCAGTCCATAAAGAGGAATTCGAGACATGCTTCTGGTTAATGATGACACCAAAAGTTCGAAAACGAAACTTGGTTACACACATGTTTCTTGCCGGTATGGCAAAAGTTCGTTTGATGGTCAAACTTGCGTGTTTAGCGCTGTCCGCTACTTATGGCGTAATCCTGGTGATTAATCTTGTTTACCGCTGCCACCGTGTTATGATAGTTGCTTGTTTATAAGCTTGATGAACGGTAAACGATGACATGTTTTGGTTCATAGGCGATGGTCGCCATGCTTTTATTACCAGCGCCAAAACAGTTCGTACAAAAGTGGCATTGACACTTTAGACGAAACGGGATTTACATATAAACGAAATAAGATTGTTAATACATCTCACAACATTGTCCATAACAGTTATCATCGGTTTTTCTGGACCGAGTTCATAACATTAATCACTGGTTTGTCTGGTTGAGATTTGAGATGTGATTATCTTAAATATTTGGCATATAACAAGACTCACATATGATTACTTAAGTGATTTTGCTGCCTTCTATCTGTAAGTACATGTGGCAACAATTCTTTTTGATTGCTAAAATCTTTGTACATAATGCTGCAGAAACTGAAGTCCTGCTTGAGATCCCTGGATGAGTACTCCAGGTTGACAGTCTGGAAGGACCAGACAAGGGAGTCCTTAACAGAGAGTGAACCCCTTCAGATATCAGAGGTGATTTGCAGACAGCGATGACGAGGGTCCTGTTATTTCAATGGAGGCCGACCGAGAAGTTGTATGCCAAATGGTACATGGACACACAAAGGCTGGTCTGGCTAATGTGAGAAGACCAACCAATGCCAAGCTTCTTGTCTTGAGCCATGTAGTAAACACTTGAAAGGAATGATAAATGGGACTTATTGTCTTTAAATGTGGACCCAAACACAAAAAGGAAAGTTCACAATTCTACTAACACAATGCAGCAGGGATAGAGTCCAACTGGTATCCCCTCATCCTGGTTCCTGTTCATCCATGGCAATATAGAGTGAAAAGGAGGATTGAGGGAAAGTAAGTTCTCTGAACTGGTGAACATAATCCGTAGGTACTGTCAAGCGAACAGTTATCACACTCTGTTATGAGTATTGAAGAATAGGATGAAATTGCATACTGCATCAGGAACCATCATGTGAACACTGTTCAATGTGCGATATAGGCATATAAATAAAAGAAATTGATAATTTGATCGTTGCTATGTTTCATTTGCCAGCTGTGTAAATGGGGATGTTTCATGATTTTGCCTCAGTTTAATAGCCACACTTATCTCATGAAACCATGCATTGCTTGGGCATTTCAGGAATAAATAACACGTGTTTCCTTAGCTCTGAGAATGTCTGATGACACATTGATCTGTTATGTCAAAGGTCAAAGTCACAACCAGATTAAAGTTTGTTTGTGGTCTAACTTTTCCTTTGGGCAGGGGTCGAAGTTGGAAAAAGGTCGTGCGTGACCTATATATACTACATTTCCCTCTAAATTGCCTTTTCTGCAGAAGTCTTAGTAACTCTTATACATATACTGGTTATATTATTTTCATATTTTTGTCAATGATATGTTGAATTCTACCAAAGGACTGCATATTTGGTTTATGTGCTGGATAGCTCTTTGAAATGTTTTTGAAATATTTATCACTGATATTGAAGGTCAAATTCACACTCAAAAGTGATAACTCTTAAAGGGGTGAAGTGTAAGATCAAGGCAATAGTGAAGGGGTCATTCATAAAGTATTTCTGAAATTATAAATAAAATGCCTGTTTCTGGAGATATTTGTGAAGTATTAAGCACATAGTTGTTATATTATTTGAATACACATATATGAGCAGTGGTTACAACTCCAGTGTCAAATTAACTCTCTTTTAATAAACGAATTCACAGTAACTGAGGAAGAGCTCACTGTAGTACCATAAAACTAGGGTGAGGCAAATTTCAATGAAGTTAGCATTTTGGATATAACAAGTACATGTACCATTACAAATAGTCTTATTATCATCTCACTAGGACCAAAGGCCCAAGTGAGCACATTCTCAATGACTTTTTCTTTTTCTCAGTACAAACTGGAAGTCTGGACATGAAATTTAAGGATATCAGTATACAAGAACTGATGTTTGTTCATTAAATACCATTAACATCTGAAAAGAACAATATATGAAATTGAACAATTGTCTCCAAAAAAATTTAAGGAGGATATTTACCATTAAAGTAACACAGAATATTACAACAGCCATC